GTGATTACCAAAGACCTGCTTAACAGTAATGACAGTAATACAGAGTAAGGGGCTGGCGGAAGCCAAAACAGTAAATAAAAGATGTCTAATGAGCAGTGACAATCTGAATGTGAAAAGACCTTTTATAAAAATGCCACATGGATAACCAAAACATACATACAACATATGCACAAACATATATATACAAACAACCCCATCAGGGACCAAATCCCTTTTACACAACTATACAGCCAGGTCTAAACATTTATTACAAAACAGAGACGGAAGGGTGAAACTAAGACACCCCAAAAACAGCCTTAACTTAATGGACTGGAACCTCGAAGTGAGACACAATGGTTGGCTTGACAAAACTGGGGCTTAACCTGACGCTCCTAGCATCGATCCGGTGCCTGAACACCTACATATAATTATAAACAGTGAGCTAAAGCCCAGTGAATAACAAATGCGTAAAGAGGTTAAGAATGAATGTCCTTTCAGTAATAAATCAGTCATATCAGTTATATATGGTACATCCAATAACAAACAGTACAGTAAGTCTTAACAGACCAAGCAGTCAGTTGATGGCCATCATAACAGTATACAGTATTGGTTCCAAGTATTGGAACCGACAGAGATCTCTGTGACAGTAGCAGTAACAGTACAGTAACGGTAAGTTGCTATGGATGCCACGAGTACAGTTCATAAATAGGACATCATTCATTCAGTAAACAGTATCACTTCATAAAATAGTACAGTTAATTGTTCAGAAAATAATCATCATTGAACATATCTTTACAACATTATTACTCACAGAGCACTGGGCTATAGGCAAGCTAATGAGCGTCCTCGGATGCCAACCCTACACAGTTGCAGAACGAACACACACTAAGTTACACACTTGGGATTAACATCTTAGCCCCTATCTTGACTTGGTGTAGTTCTATAACATTATCCTCATTAAGATGTCTTAAACTAGGCCTAGGAATGCCTAGAATGGAATGAGGATGCAAAGATGTACTTTAAAATACTTTTCAAAATTTTCAGAAAACAGGGGCCTCGCTGGAGTGTGGCTTTCTACGCTCGAGCGAGCTTTCCAAAACAGAGGGGTCGCTCGAGCGTGGACTTCCTCGCTCGAGCAGTCTGTAAAAATGCAAAAAGTGTTGGATGTTGAAAATCCTCGCTCGATGCTCGCTCGAGCGTGAGACACATCCTTCGCTCGAGCATAGGTCTCGTCGCTCGAGCATGCGTCTGCGTACACGAAACATCTAAGAGCTTGCAATCTACGCTCGAGCCAGCATTCCTTCACTCGAGCGGAGCTCTGAACAAAAGATGGTCGCTCGAGCGTGGAATCCTTCGCTCGAGCGTGGAAGCCAAAATCTGGAATTTTTAGATTTTCCTCCCAAGCTCAAACCAAGCATTCAACACATCAAAACTCAACCTTTTGGGCCAATTTTCTGGAAAACACTTGGAAACCAACAACATAACATGTTTTGAGGATCAATTTGTAAAATCAAAGCCCAAGGGTGAGTCAATTGAGCACCATTTTCAAAGAAACTTGAAGAACAAGATGTACATTTAACATGCACGTATTCAATTGAATTCAAAGCTTCTAACACATTATCAAATGAGTCAATCCTTCCAAAAACATGGTGAATTCATGAACTACAACTAGAAAATGGACATGAATGTGGAAATTTAGGAAGAACAACCTCAAAATTCAAGAACATGAACATGCATGCATGAATTACTACTCAATTCAATCCTCAAATTAATTCTTGACACTAATCTCCAAATTCCCATGAATCATGCAAGAAACAACTTAAATTCCACAATGAAGAAGGTGAATTATCTACCTTAGGTCTTGAATTCAAAGTATACAAGCTCAATTTTGCAAATTCTCATCAAGTCTTCTAAGTCTCCAAGCAAATCTTCTAGATGAACTCAAGTTCTCCCAATTCACTCTCTCCCACGGTTTGTCTAAGGGAATGGCTGAAGTAATGATGCCTCAAATCCATAAATTAAGTCCCAAACAAGTTTTGTAGGAAATGGCCACTCAATGGCAAATTCGTAATAACTCAATCCAAAGTAATTTAACATTATTTAATCTAATTTAATCGTTCTAAATCAAATTTAAATTAAACCTACCATAAAATCACATAAATTCTAATTAGTATATAACACTAATCAATTCCGAAATCGGTCGCCAATAAGGCTTTCAATTCGCAGTCCGAAACTAAAACACGAACAGATCCTTAAATGGCAAACAGATAGAAATGCATTTAAGATAATACACTTATGCAATCAATTCAGAATTTCAGTCTGATCAATTACTTATCATGCTTAATCATAGATTAGCACTAATCAGAGGTGAGGGTTGTCACATTTATGCTATAGATTCATGATCTAGGATTTATGAATGTATACACGCGTGTGTCATCTTTTGTTTGATTAAGAATTATAAATAGAATAAAAATATAATGTTGCTGATCAATTGTAGGAAATATTATGAGATGGACTATTGTTATTATTTCGAGACGTTACACTTATGATTCTATTTGGGTGTTCATATTTTATTATATTTTTAAACTCGATAGAATGTTAGAGGATTAATAAATAAACAAAATCACGCGTTCAAACACCTAAATTTAGCGAGGTAGGAATATACAAGTGTCCGTTGTATACAGGAAAGGCTGCTACATGCACCCAAAAAAAAAAAAAACGCATATGGTGTGCACATACAAAAAAATTATAATTGCTACTACAAAATATATGAGTTTTATTACAAAATGTATAATTTTTTCTTATTATAAAATATATAACTTTTTAACCCTCGCAAAAAATAATGTAACTTTTACTAAAAAAAAACATAACAATGATTATCCATAACTTTAGGAATGTATACCATAATTTTATCATTCATAACTTTCAATACAAAAATCGTAACTTTTGTCATTAAAATAATAATTTTTATTACGAAATGCAAATGCACATTATAGCATTTCCTATTCTTACATAGTCTTCACTATTTGCCTATAAAAGGAAAAAAAAAATATCAATTTTCTTTATTTATTGAATGATTCATAATTTTGTATTTCCGTAATCACAATAAAACCCTCAACCCCAAATTTTAATGAACTTGTTTCAAAATATTAATGTTATACACAATGCCATACTTACAACGAACTCCATGACATTTTCCTACTAGGCAAAAACTGAAAATAATAATACCACCCTGACTAATGTGTACAAATAAAAACTGAAAATAATTATACTGTCATGACTAATGTGTACTCATTCAAAGTATGGAATTAAAATCAAGTTTTAATTTCATACTTCCTTTTGTAATGTTTTGGAAACAGTTCTGAAACCTTTGAGTGGCCTTGATCTTGGATGATCAATCTTGTGCTTGCATCCTGATGTGATAAGATTGTGTTTGAATATTAGATTTGGATAAAATTTATGGAAGGAAAAAAAAAAAGAGATGAAAATGTAAGAAAATATATTTTCTCATCCTTTTATTTTCTGTCACAAATCTATATATTATAGGTACTCTGTTCATAAAATCAAGTTTTATTTTATTTGACTTTAGGTCCAAAGGCTGAAATGCTTTGTCTAAAAATACAAGTTTAGATGAAATGATTAAAATATTCCTCTATATATGTCATATATACGGCATCGGCACACAAATGAATAGGGAGAGAGATCTGTGTTTGGTCTTCTTAGATTTTCCCAATGGTCAAACAGTCACAACATCACATCCTCCTACAAGTATTTTGATGGGATTTTTTCTCGACTTAAGTCAAATTAGCAACTTAATTCTTAAATTAGGTTTAGTTTGGGCAGAATTTTCAAACTAGGTTAAAGCGCTATTACAAACCATGTTTTCACTGTTTCTAAGACCCTTCCGCGAAAAATTTGTGAAATAATAAAAGTGTGGTTTAACAATTTTTTTTTTTTTTTTCCAGAAAACGTGGTTAGAAAGCACGCTTTTAAGCAAAAGTTGTTTTCTTCTGAAAACGTGATTTCAAACCACGCTTTTACTATGCTTATAATTAAATTTTGTTTTCTGAAGAAAACGTGGTTCCAAACAACGCTTTCACTGTACATATGTGTTTTCTTAAGAAAACTTTTAAAATATATTAAAATGTGATCGAAATAAAACTTGAGTTCTCTATAGCTCAAATTGTAGTGCGTTTGTTTTGCTTGGCAGAGGCGTGGGTTCAATCCACCACAACTCCTTTTTCTTTTTCTCTTTTTCTCTTTTTTTTTTTTTTTTTTTTTTTTTTTTTTACTTTTTTTGATTAAAAAAAAAACCACTAAATTTAATTGCTAAAAATTCAAGTCACTAAGATAGTCGTACCTTATCCTTTAATTTGCCACTTTTTAGTTAAAGAAAATTATTGTCTTATTATTATTATTATTTTCAAGTGGATGCATGTGAATTGTATGTCATGTCATAATTTTTACTTACACTAATTCATTTGCACCTCTATGAAAATTACAATTATTTTGAAAGATATTTCTAATTTTCTTTCTTACACTTCTATTTTTTGACAAAATCACCAAAATTCTACTAAACAAAGTAGACCAAAGGATTTCAAAGTAAAAATAAATGACAAGCTCCGTTGACTCCCAAGTCTTTTTCTACAAAACAAAGTAGACCATTATTGGCATCTTGCCCCCAAGTCTTTTTCTACGAACATTGTGGAAAACTTGTGGTGCAACTACAATATAAAAGTTGATCATTCCATGGCTAACAAAACTCAGAAAACCAAAAATTGCAAATCCTTATTTGTTGGTGTATTTGCTACTTCATCTTGATAATAATTCTTGCTGCATCATCATGATCATGATCATGAAAATGATGATGGTTGAAAAATTTCATCAATTTCTCCGTGTGTTTGTCATCGTTGTGCTTTTACTATTCATGAAACCTGCTCTTGGACTCTCCTCAAGAGTTGAAGAAGATGCTTAAACCAATTGCATAAAGAGGGAGAGACAAGTTCTCCTCAAGTTTAAAGATGCTCTTATTGATGATTATGGTATTCTCTCTTCTTGGGGGAGTGAAGAAGATAAAAAAGATTGTTGCAACTGGAGAGGAGTTGGGTGCAACAACCACACTGGTCATGTCACCATGCTCGATCTTCATGTATTGTACAATTATTCTCTTGATGCTCCTTATCAGGCACTGAGAGGTAAGATTAGTCATTCATTGCTTGAATTGCAACATTTGAAGTCTTTGGACCTCTCAAAAAATAATTTTCATGACGACATCACAAAGTTGAGGAACCTTTCTAACTTGCAGAATCTTGATCTTGGCTACAATAAAGGTCTGGAGTGTGAAAATCTTGAGTGGCTTTCTCATCTTTCTTTATTAAGTCACTTGGACCTTAGTGGTGTTGACCTCAGTAAAGCAATCGACTGGGTTCAATCTATCAATAATCTCCCTCTCCTAAAAGAGTTAAGGTTATCTTATTGTACACTTCCTGCGATCACTACTCATCCCTCACTTCCTTTTAATTCTTCTGCGTCTCTTTCTATACTTGATCTTTCTTGAAATGATCTATCTTCTTCAATATATAGTTGGTTGTTCAACTTTAATAGTAGCCTTATTGATATAGACCTTTTGATAACCAGTTAAAAGGTCCGATTCCTGATTCTTTTGGAGGCATGATTTCCCTCACAAATCTCAGTCTGGCTTACAATCATGTTGAAGGTGGCCTTCCAAAATGGGGCAGAGGACTCATTATAGGTTTTGTATGTGGATGACAATCGCCTTAGTGGTCCATTGCCTGATTTTACAAGATTTTCTTCCTTAATAGAATTGTCTGCTAGCCTTAATCAATTGAGTGGATCCATTCCAGAAACTTTTAGACAACTTCCTAGTCTTGTTGTTCTTCAGTTGAATGGAAACCAAATTACAGGGTCACTGCCTGACCTTTCAATGTTTCCATCATTGACAC